AAATAAATAAATAAATAAAATTAAAGTGAAAACCAAAACACAATGAACAATAAAAATCAAAAAGAAAACAAAACAGGGCTAGGGAGATGGCTCAGTGGAGTAAGCGCTTCCCTGGCAAGTGAAAGGGCCTGAGTTCAGTAACCGGTTCTGCCAAAAACCAAACCAAACCAAAACAAAACACCCCCAAAGGGCTAGAAATGTTGCCTGCTGCAAAGGCCAAGGTTCAGTCCTCAGTAAACCATCCTCACCCAAGAGCATATCTTAGAAATATTTTTCCATGTGTGCTTTGTCTAGTTTGCCCTAGGGATCCAGAAGTCCATGAAAACTCATTTCTGTTCTCAAAGGCTTTGGGATTATAAGGTGGAAACAGCCTCCTGCAGGAGCATAGAGACCCGGAGGGGCTAGTGACTTTGGCTTTTAAGCCGAGTCTTACACTTGCAAGTTCACTACAGCAAGAGAAACCACGGACAAACGAAGTGGTTTTCAAACTTGTCAGTTTATTTGCGGTCCTGGGGTACTTCAGACCTTTTAAATTTTTTTTTCTTTGACACAGAATATGGTTAGGCCACTAAAACTACTATGGCTGGACGCAAGTTTATGATATTTATGGCCCAACCACCCAGTGTGCTGGGATTACATTCTGAGACACCAAACTGAGGTCCATTTAAAACGAATATTTTGGCTTGATGATGTGGTGGTGGTATACAGCTGATCCCAGCACTCGGGAGGCTGAGGCAGGAGGATCACCTTGAGTTCAAGGCCACCCTGAACTACAGAGACCCTCAAAACAAATTTCTTACGAAATGATAAAATGCTTGACTCCTCTCCCCTCCCCTTGTCTCCATTACCTTGTTTTCTAGGGCCAGTGTGGCTGGCACTCAGTAAATGTTAATACTTCCCTCCTTTTTCTTGCCTTGTGGCCAAAGGAGACCTAATCTAAATTTTATTTCCTATGGGGAAAATAACCCCACTTGGGGTGAGAGTGGGAGGCTGGAACTAAGGCTGACTTCATTCTGGCCTCTTTTATTTTTTTGGCACCAGGAATCGAACTCAGGACCTCGTGCTTCCCAGGTAGCTGTGCCTGATCTAGATCCCAGGCCTGCCTCTCCCTTTTTATTTTTTTTTTCTGTTTTTGGTATCTGGAATCAAACTCAGGACCTTGGGCTTGGAAGGCAAGCGCTGCTGTGCCACTGAGCTACATCCCCAGAACGCCTGCGCCTGGGGTCTGTGGGGTTGCTGTTCGCTGCTAAAGCCACACTCGTCCAGAGTTTCATCATCATCTAAAAGCTGGTCGTCCTTTTACAACTGCCGCCATCGGGCGGCTGTGTGGGCTGCTTAGGAATGAATGCCCTCGACCTTCTCCCCCTCCCACTGGGTGTTCTAAGGGAAGGCAGAGATCTAGGGGACTGCGGGCATCCTGGGCTGATTTTGATGTTCTGGCCTCAGGTTACCTGATTCCAGGGTTGTTATGACAGACAGAAATAAACCAATGTTACTGGGGAGGGTCAAAAAAAAAAAAAAAAAAAAAAGGCAATGCCCTCGAGTAAACCTTTCAGCTCAAACACCCCGGTCTAGTAACACCGGGTCGTTAGGAACTCGTCCTTGGGCCCGGCCGCCCCTCCCCCGCGCCCTGAATCTCATTTTATGGGGAGGAAACAGCAAGGGAAATGGCTCGCGATACAATGCAAGAGGTGACTAGTCAGAGTATAAAAACCAGGTGCCCCCAAACTCCCAGCTCTGACGACTAAAGTCGGCTAGCTAGTGGGTGGGGCCCAGGACCTCCCTAGAGGCTGGTTCCAAAATGGTGGAGACAGTGGCGTCAGCAACGCCCCCGCCCTTTCCGTCCACCTCCCTCTCTCCACCAGGCCAGCCAGGAGGGGGAGGGGAAAGAACGGCGTGACACACGTGACTTCCGACGACGCGGCGCGTTACGCGAAGCGGCGGGCTCAACGCTAGGTTTGTCTTATGGGAAATGTAGTTCAAGAGACCACTCATTGGGGAGACAGCCGCAGGCTTAGGACTATATTTCCCAGAAGGAAGCGGGCGTGACGCCACCATCGCCGCCACCGGAGAGCAGGGACGCGGAGCGCGCTGTCGGGCGGGGGCGAGGTTCGGGCCGGTTGTGCCGTTGCGAGGTTGCCTGTGAGGTCGGTGCGGTAGGCCTAGGTGAGTGAGTCTTTTTTGATGGGAGTTAGGTCACCTTCACCGACCCTTTTTTGTTTTTCCTATCTCTTCTCTGTAGTGCCTGGGTCCGAGTCCGGAGAAGGACTGGCGCGAAGCCGCTTCCCCGCGCTTACACCCGGGCCTCTTCTGAGCGGGCCCTGCTCTCTCCGACTCCTCCCCCTCCCCGCCCTTCAAGGCTTCCCTTCGCTCCGGCCTAGCTCCTGAGGCCTTAGGCCACCTACTCTCTGGTAATTTCTGCGCGTTCTAGCCGTTGTAATCTGCAATCTGCGCGGGGAGGCCTTCACTACCCGCCCCCCTTTGGCTGTACGAACCCCATTATTTGGATTCTCATTTTCCGGAACTCTTGACTCTTCCCCTCCCCCCAGTCTCCATTACCTTGTTTCTGTCTTCTAGGGCGAGTGTGGCTGGCAGTCAGTAAATGTTACACTTCCATTCTTTTTCTGGCCTTATGGCCAGAGGAGGCCTAATTTAAATTTTATCTTCTACCGGGCAAATAACCCCATTTTTCGTGGGTGGTGGGTGGGATAGAACTAAGGCCAACTTCATTCTAGCCGTAATTGGCGTGTGTCCTGCTTATACAAGCCAATTATGTCTCTGCATCTAAGCAACTTTACCAGCTTTTTTTTCTTTTTGCTTTTCTGAATCTTAGGGGTGGAGTATGGCAGCAGAAGCCGGCGAGCAGCGCTGGTCCCAGAAGTTGGAAGCCTTCAGTGGGAGTACAGTGTTTTGTGGGGAGATTAATTGGATTGAAGGGAAAGCCTCTGAGAGTATGGTGGGAGGGAGCCAGTGAAGCTTTCGGTGGTAGCATAACAGAAGTGCTCTGGAGGCAGTCTGCCTGGCTGGCTTTGCCAGCTTTCGATTATTAGATCGAGTCTTCGCTTCCAGGTGCCTCAATTTTTTTTTTTTTTTCTTTCCCAAAAATAGCAGTGACTAACTGACCTTTTAATAGAGTTATTGTGAAGACTAAGTAGAATAAATATAATTTACCGTGATGATAGGATTGCTAGATTATAGGTTCAGAATAGAGAGGCATATGTCATACTGTCATTTTTCTTTCCTTGTAGGTGATAGTCTGGGTTTTTTTCGTGGAAATACTGCTTATTGTAGTCTGACCTGTTACCTAGCAAACTTGATATATAAAGTCTTTTTTTTTTTAATTTTTTTTTTTTTTT